TACTAGTAGTAACAGGTGCCTTACTAGTAGTAACAAGAAGCTAGTAGTAACAAGTGCCTTACTAGTAGTAACAGGTGCCTTACTAGTAGAAACAGGTGCCCTACTAGTAGTAACGGGCGCCTTACTAGTAGTAACAAGAAGCTAGTAGTAACAAGTGCCTTACTAGTAGTAACAGGTGCCTCACTAGTAGTAACAATGTTTGCAAGAATTAAGTTTAAATAAGAAACTCCCGGCGAGGGTAGGCCGTAGAGGGAGGTAGGAGCTAGAGGTAGCTAGTAGACGCAAACGGTAGCTAGTTCTTTACTAGTACTAGCGACTGGACGCAGGATAGCTCACGCTATTCATTTGGTTTGTAGATTGTTAGGGAAACTTAAGTTCGTTTTGAGCTACTTTTGTTCCAAAGGAACTGCTAGTTGGGCCCTGATTACCCGTATTTTGCAGCTTCCTCCTCATTCTGTTGAACAGAAGGTGTGTTCGGACCTAGGGCAACAGGAACGTCAATTGCGAAGAACAGGAAGTTGAACTCGTTTGTATATTTTGTACACCACACACCTGAGCTCAACTGCACCTGCAGACTATCTTTGAATTTCGTTTGGATTATGCCATAAGGGATCAGCTCAGAGTCTGACTCAAGCAATTAGAATGAGTCCTCGCCAGGCCTTGTCAAGAGTGGTAGGTCTAGTGGAGAAAGAACTGGGAAAGGAGATTGTTGAGACTGGAAAGAGACACATTATTGAGGGTTCTTTTCTTCCTTAAACGCTTTTTCGTTAGGATATTTGTTTGATTTGGTTTCTGTTGTTCCTCAATTAGCAATACTTAGTGTTAGTCCTTCCTAAAACTTCAGCAAACACTTCAGCCGCTTCCTGCGACGCCTGCGACGCTTCCTGCGATTGTGAGGCGAGCCCGACTCCGCGCTCCGTCCAGAGTTCCAACTGGAACGACGTGAGCTGGAGCAAACGCAGCTGGAGCATAAGGCCTGAACTTCGCGGCGTATGTCGCGCGCGCGTAACCCTTGGAGTCACACTGATCCATTCGGATTGTATCGCTTTGTTTTTGCCTGGTTAAAGCAGGAGCGGTGGGCATTCTTGAAGTCACCGCTCAACGAAGACACTTCAAGTTTGCAGTGATATGTAATCTGGACGCAGATTGCGCGTACTTGCGAGAAGATGATCGCCACTCATTCTTTTTTGGGCCCCGTTGTACCTAGAACAAGACTTCCAGCCATTGCATCGGTTATGCGTTCTGCAGACCTGCGCGATACGTCGTCACTTTGTCGCGGTTCCGCTGTTCGATTTGGTGGATTTTTCTTGAAGGTTTCTTTTGCTTAACCAGGACCCTTAGGCGGCTTACTTAGGCTGACGTGTGGCAAGCCGCAATCACATGAATCACATCCGTACGGATGTCAATAAGTGTCTTGGGATCGTTTTGGATTGGAGAACTTTCGTTTTATTCGCAGCAGGGGGGCAATCCCACATTGCAGCTGATTGCCCAATGAAGAGGGCTGCAAGTGTGGCTGATATCCGGAAGGGATGCCTTCTGGACGTACCTGCTTGGTTGCGGCGCACAAGCTGTCACTCTCATGTTCCAAAAAGGGCTAATTAGTGCGCTCTGCAGACAAGAGCGATCGCCGTCACTTCGACCTGCGCGTCATCTCGTGGAGTTGGATGTCTGGCCTTTAACTAAAGGTGCTCAGGCCCCCCTTACCTGACTTTTCAGGATATGGTTACCTATGCTGCCGTGTGGCGAGCATGTCAATAAGTGTGTGTGTGTGAACCCCTTGGAGTCACAGGGATTCCTTTGAATTTGTTTTAGCAGGGGAGTGCGCATGATTGCGGGACCGCGCTCAACGAAGCTGCCGCAACCATGGGATACCGAGTCTGGTCCACTCCGCGTACCTGCGCAGAAGGTTGTGAAGCCGCAATATCTCGAGTGTGTGTGTAACCCTTGGAATTCCAGGGATCCTTTCGGATTGTTCTCGCTTTTGGTGTTTTGAGCTTTTCAGCAGGGGGCAGTAGCCCACTCATGAGTCTACTGCCAACGAAGCTGCTCATGAGTTGGGAGGATATCGGAGCTGATCACTCCGACGTACCTGCATGGTTATGGTGTTTACAAGCTGTTACTCCAATTTTCTGGTCAAGTGCTAGTGAGTTCTGCAGATGTGCACGCTACGTCGTCACCTTGTCGTTCGCTCGATCGGTGTTTTCTTTTGGAGCTGCTGGCCACCTGCAACCTTCGGGACCTCCGCTAGATGGACCTCTACTTCCTTTCTAGGTCTCCTTACCTGTACCCTTAGGAATTGGAACCCTAGGCCGGCGTGTGGCACCGCTGTCAAGTCAGTACGCATATCCATGAGTGTGTGGAGACCTTGGAATCACAGGGAACCTGTCGGTTTCCATAAGCAGACTCCCTGGTTCGCCCCCTGGCCAACGAAGACCGCGCGCCAGGGAGGTGTAAACTGTTGATTGGTTGCTGTGATCCCCTGGTTTGTTTTATGGTGGTTCATGTACCTGATGTTGTTATAGGCCCTCAGGTTTGCAGTTTTGCTTGTGTCCTTTGGGCCTCCAAACCTGTAGTGATGGCCTTCAACCTGGTTGCGATGGCCTCCACCTACTAGCGATGGCCTCCAACCTTGAATGGTTTGCAGTTGCATGCTTTGCCATGGCCCCCAACCTAAGAGCGAGGACCTCCAACCTACTTTTCCCGTTCCTCAGGCCCTTTTTTCACCTAGGTGGCCATTCGATTCGGCGCGCAGTATCTTAAGCCCGGGCAGGATGGAGGCTGCGCATACGCCTCCTGTGTGGATACCTTGGAATCACAGGTGTTGGTGTAACCATGCAGGGGGGCAAGGCGCGATATCACCAACCTTGACCAACGAAGCTGGGTGATATCGCGGGATGTGGGACCTGGCCAGTCCCACGTACCTGCATTGTTTCGTGCATGTTGTAACCACCGACCACTCGTAGCGTCGTAGAGGTACAAGGCTGTTTAGGTTTTCAGGTTTGCAGTTTTGCTTGTGTGTTAATTGTTCAGTTTGCGTGCAGTCAACCTACTTGCACTTGCGTGTGGTTTTTTGTTCAGTTTATATGCAGTTAGCCTACTTCCACTTGACTTGCTTATGTGTTAAAATGTTTAGCTTGTGTGCAGTTAACCTACAAGCGGATGGCAATTGTTTGTGTACGACAGTCAACCTACTTGTGATGGCCTTCAACCTAAATGCGATGACCTCCAACTCAAGAGTGGTGGCCTCCAACCTAGGTGCGATGGCCTCCAACCTTAGAGCGATAGCCTCCAACCTGTTTTCTCAGGAAACTGGTTACTTGGGTCGCCTACGCAATATCTCGAGTGTGTGTCTGTGTGTGTGTCACACCCTGTCTCTAAGGGACTTTTAAACAATTTCAACAACAGAATCGCACGGGGCAATCCCACTTCGCGGTCGATTGCCAAACGAAGAGGGCTGTGACAGTCGCTTTTCCGCGCTTTACATTGGCAATGCAGTAACTAATGTTGTGAATCATTGTCTGAAGTTTTGCCCATTCACTTGAGCTCTCATTCTAAGTGTGTCATCTACCCCAGTCAGGTCCGGACGCATGTTGCGTTCTAACTGTCCAGGGCAAATTCTCACCAGTCATAAAGACTTTAAATCAAGCGCAGAAGTCTGGCGTGAGGAAAAGTCCTGCGGCTGCGCTTCTGTGAGCTCACGGCAGCGGAGCCACCCAGAGGGCTCAGAAAGATACCCCTTGCGTCCAAGTGGAGAGGCCAAAAAGTGGACCACAATGCAAAAACCATCGAGGCTGAAGCCGGCGTGCCACAAGGCTATTCCCCCATGGATCCCAAAGCTTCTAGGATTGACAGAGGGCGCCCTATGGTGTTGAAAAGAGTGCCGCCAGGTCAGCGGAATGGAGCTCAACGGTGGTTAAGTTCACGCACGAATGTCCATGTGGATGATAAACTCATTGCGAATGAGGCAGCAGAGGACTCTGTTTGGTTGATCGAGGAGCAAAAACAAATGTACAAACTGCAAGTTGAAGAACCCTACCCTAAATAGACTTGGAGAAGAAGTGAGCTAGCTATCTGAAGAGGAAGACGGGATATACGTCAAACCAAACCCAATGCGCATTTGCGTGGACTGCGAGGGAGAAAGAAACGGGCGCCAGAACACAGCTCACTGAATCAGGCTGGTGCTTCAGTGGATTTGGACAGTGCAAGACAACCACAGTCCAGAAGCGGGCTGGGTACTGCTATATACTTGGTTCGACAGAGTTGACATTCAGTTTTGCGTCAAGTCGCTGTATAGTTCATGAAGTCGCCAACAGTCCAAGCTGAAGAGGCCTTGCGCAGTTGAGTTTGTATGTGTCTGGGGCGCGGGATTTCGCTTTTCGCATGACGTACAGCCAAATTTGAACAAAGATGGCCCATCGATTGCGCTGTGTGAATGAGCACAAGGAGTCACACGTCGCAAGTGCATTCGTTGAAAGTACGGCCCAAAAGGGTCAACAACATCGGTGATGATCATGATGAACGGATTGTTACGCGTGTCATGTAGTGGAACTCAGAAGCGGACAGCGTTATAATCGTGGGAAGGAAAAATTTAACCATGATGTAGAAAGCAGTGAGTGTGAGCCGTCCCTTTTGAAGGCAGTGTGGACTCTTATGACTTTGCAGTTGTGTGGCATTGAAGCGTGATCAGACAGCAGTTCGGCTCGGCGTTGGTTACAGAGAACAGGATTGGGATGGACGTAAGGCTTTGCTGGTTGCAGTCAGCCTTGAGAAAGAGGTTGTTCAGCGTCCTTCCCACTGGAAGAAAAAACAATTGGTCAGACTTTGCGGAAGCTCGGTCAAGTCAGGAGGAATTTCATTTTGCATTCCTTGGCGCAGTACGTGTTGATGAGCCCAACAAATTGACAGAACATGTTGGAGAACAGGAGTACTTGGTTATTTTGACCGCTGAAACATGGAAACGGCGTGTGAGGAAAATTGCGCGTCGGAGCAAGAACCAGCGACAGCGAACAAGCTGGCGCAGCGCGCTGTGATTTTGTTGATACCTGGGTGTGAACCGGGAGTGAGCAGCAGCCTGGGAGAGCAACCTGCACCACAAGCCATTCCGAGGGTTCAGGTGAATCCTGAGAGCAAAAGTGAAGAGTCAGAGGCGACAAAGTTTGCAGGACGTGTCGGATGAGCTTTGGCGCTGCTGGCATCATTTCAGTAGCGAGAGTGAAGATGCAATTGTCCTGCAACAGCTGAACCGGGCAGCCGGGCAAGTGTGAAAACCTGATTTTTCAATTTACAGCAGCTTCAGTGGAACGGGCAAATTGTGGAATGTGCGTGAGCATACAGCCGTGTATCGCATTCCGATTGCCGGAGCGAGGGCTATGGAGATAGTCCAAGGAAGAGTGGATGGAAGACCTAATTCAGTGCCGCATACCCGATGCGGATTCTATCCACTTGAAAGAGAGCAAACTTCAGCTCAGAATACGCTTCATTTTGAGGCGGAGTGTAAACACATTTTACACGTGTATAGTATGGCATGCTGGTAGTTCAGGTTCAATATGTATGCCGGCTCAAGCGCATGGCCCAAAACAACGTGCTACGAAACAGTTTTGCTTTGGAGCTTGGATGCTGGGGTCGCTGCCAGATGTCTATGGTGTACGCCAGAACACGATTTGGAGTGTGGGCGCGATTGAAACTTCTATTTTCTCAGAGCTGGTTTTATTCCTGTGTGCCAGGGCCCCCAAGCCTGCTCACACACTGCTAGCATTGATGGCAGGGGCCTCAGTGACAACAGAAACAAACAGACTTTGGGTGTGTGTGTGTGGAATGGAAAGTCTGTTGCAGGTTGGTGTGTGGAAAGCACGCCGAAGATGCCTCCGGCGATTCTCGCAAATTGTGATGCAGGATGAAGCGCGAATAGCGCGTTTTTTAAAGCAAAACTTGATTCACGACTCCACGTTTGTGATTGCGCAATAACTTCGGTGTTTAATACCCATTTTTGAAGCGAGGAATCCAAGACAAATCTGATCACGTTGGTGGACGGCGGCTGGACAACAACCTCTTCCACTTATTTGATATTTTCATTATACCCCCAAATATCCTGTGCTCAGGTAGTTTTCTTCTGTACCAGGCAGGGTGAAACAAGGCCGCAAGGCTTGGTGGGGCTTTTAACAGAAGGGCAAAATATTGATTTGCAGGGCTACTACGCCATGCCGCCACTAACAAACAGGTTGGGCGGGGACCTCCAGATCGGCAAGACTGAAAGGAAGGAACCCAGTTCGGAAGTCGAAAACGGAATGTGTTTTTTGAAAAACAATTTTCCGATTTTGTCTCGTCCCCTACCAAGAGGGGACGAGACTCGGGAGACGCAAAGTGTTCGTTGAGAGAAAGTAAATCCGAGGCGAGCCAACTGGTGCATTGCACAATTTCCTATTGCAACTGGAGAGGAACGCTCGGAACGCTTCATTTGAGACGTGAGGTGACTCGAGTTCGGTTCAACTTTTGGACATGAGAAGCATCCAGATCCTTCGAGGATCTCTACGGTGACCGACCCATCGCACATGGCGGTGCTGTTTGCCTGCGACTTAGTGTGACATCAATAAACACAAAAGATTCACAAAATCTTTATTCCCCAAACAGTTTACTGTTAGGGGTTCTCAATTCTTTCTTAAGATGTGTCCGCCCTTTGTGTCACTGCTGGTGTTCGCCCTTTCCCGCTGGCCATGCAGCGTTTCTAGTCATTTGTCTCCCAGGCCTGTCACCTTTTCCGCTGGCCATGTACCGTTTCTATTCATTTGTCTCCCAGGTCTGTTGCTGCTGGTGTCCGCCCTTTTCGGCTGGCCATGTAGCATTTCCATTCATTTGCAACATTTCTATTCACTTGTCTCCCAGGTCTGTCACTGGTGGTGTCCGCCCTTTTCCGCTGGCCATGCAGCGTTTCTATTCATTTGTCTGTGAGGTGTGTCACTGCTGGTGTCCGCCCTTTTCCGCTCGCGATGCAACATTTCATTCCCCACATAGTTTGCCGTTACGTAGGGTTTCTCAACTTAAGATGTTTTTTTTTATTCGTTTGTCTTTAAAGTGATTTCTTTACTTTTGTCTCTCAGGTTCGCTGCCTGCGCTGCTGGTGTCTGCCCTTTTCCGCTGGCCATGCAGCATTTCTATTCATTTGTTTCCCATGTGGTTTGTTCGCTTTTGTTTTCCAGGTTCGGTGCCTGCACTGCTGGCATCCGCCCTTTTCCCCTCTCCAGCATTTCTATTCATATTTGTCTCCCAGGTGATTTCTGCACTTCCCCAAACAGGTTACTGTTAAGGGTTCTAAATGCTTTCCAAAAGTGTCCGCCTTGCTGCCGGACAGCGTGTCCGCCTTCCGTCTGGCTTGTCTCCCTTGGTCTCCGTTCTTGTTGGTCACTGTGTCCCCCGTTTGTCTCCGGTCTTGTCTCCCTTCTTGTGGGTCATTGTGTCCGTCTTGTCTCCCTTCTGTTTCCTTTTATCTCCCTTCTTGTCTCCCTTCTTGTTGATCATTGTGTCCGTCTTGTCTCCCTTGTGTTTCCTTTTGTCTCCCTTCTTGTCTCCCTTGTTGTCCCCCTTCTTGTTGGTCATTGTGTCCGCCTTGTCTTCCTTCTTTCCTTTACATGTCCCCCCTCTCGCTTGCAACCCTTCACATTTGTCTCCCAGCTCTGGACTGCTGTGTCCGCCTCTGCATTGCAAGCCTTTACATGTGCCTCCCTCTGTCTACATTTGTCTCCCAGCTCTGGACTGCTGTGTCCGCCTCTGCCTTGCAATCCTTCACATTTGTCTCCCAGCTCTGGGCTGCGGTGTTCGCCTCTGCCTTGCAATCCTTCACATTTGTCTCCCAGCTCTGGGCTGCGGTGTCCGCCTCTGCCTTGCAATCCTTTACATTTGTCTCCCAGCGCTGGGCTGCTGTGTCCGCCTCTGCCTTGCAATCCTTTATTTGTCACCCAGCTCTGGGCTGCATGTCGCTTGCAATCCTGCCTTTACATTTGTTTCCCTCTGTGTCTACATTTGTCTCCCAGCTCTGGACTGCTGTGGCCGCCTCTGCCTTGCAATCCCTGTCTCCCAGCTCTGGACGTCGCAAGCTCTAGTTGCAGAGTGTTCCGATTTTGAAAACACAAGCTGTTTGGGGTCTACGGTGGTGTAATTGTTACAATAAAAAGAACACTTTGTTGTTACTAGTAGCGATGGACTCCAACCTACTTGCGATGGCCTCCACCTAGTAGCTTCTGCGATTTAGTGCAACATTTCTACGAGCTCCTTTTTCGGCAAAAACTCTTGGAAGCAAGACATGGCGCTGGGGATGACAAGGACAGTGCCACAGCGTCTTCTGCACGAAAAAGATCTTTGCCAGCGTAACTGCCCTTTTTGAAGCGCAATGTGTGAACAAACACCATTTTGGTTTTCACGTCTTTGACTTTGAAACGTGGCAAATCCCAACAGCAAGATTTTGCTCTTGTTGGAGGTACAAACAAAATCGATTTTGCCATGGCCTGAGTTTTGGGCAAGAAACCAAGGAGGCACTATAGCGACATTGCGAGCCTTTTTCAAAGTACTTTGCTGTAAAAATTATGCTCTTCCCCAGCCTAGGGACCAAGTCAAGTCTAAGCTAGCTTCCTTGCTAGACTGATCCAACCGGGTGGACCTAGGAGACGGCACTGTGACGCTTCCACACTTTCGACTCGAATCGTGACATGTGATGACTAGGTCCCGATGACTTGAGGATCCAATTCGCAAAGGCCAAAGAGGTGCGAAAACCGCCGAAGCAAAGGCCAAAGGCCAAAGACACTCTTTCTGTCTCTTTTTGGCGTTCGTTTGCCGTTCAGGCATTGAATGAATTGGGCTACCGGTGGATGTGTTCTGAGACTCACGAAGCAGATGATCTCATCGCAACATGTGTGTCAGAGCCAAAGAAGGTCATGCGTCACCATGCAGAACTTGCGTTTGAACGTTCTCGAACTGAGGCGAGCGCAGCCAGAGGACAGATTTGTAAAGATCGCGTCCAAAGACAAAGACTTGCTGCAGTTGGTGAACAAGAAGGCGCGCACCTTTTGCAAATCTTCGACGTACGCGTGCGTTCATTCTCTTTCACTCTTGGCAATGCGCTTTCAAGTCGGCTTGAGATGGACGAGCCGAACAGTCTTTCTTCCTTAGCTTCTTGATTCAATTTGAATTAAATTCCAATTAAATCACGAAAGCCAGCCGATAGAGGTAGCTGAGCGAACGAAGTGAGTAAAGGGGGTGTGGGGGGTGTGAAAAATGAGTGGTTTGAGGTGTTGTGATGCCGGTGATGTAGTTGACGGCGAAGAGTGCATCATCAGCATCACGAGGGGCTCAGGAGGCCATGGAAAAAAACAGATTGTCGTTGCGGCTAAGCTTAGCGGCTTAGCGTTGCTGTCGGACTGAAGGAGGGCAGGAGAGAGAAGAGAGTGCATGATGACATCTGTTGAGGGCCTGCGAGAGAACCGAATTACAGAGGGCATTCCCCATGTGGTAAGAGTTCATGTAGATTGTGGGGTTGTTGAGGGCAAGTGCAGCGGGCAAGCGTTGGCGGCGGAAGGTCCTGCGTAGCTTAGGGGTGCCCTTTTTTTTCCGTAGTAAGGTCCAGTTGCTGGACTGAAAAGGGCACCCCACTCGCCAGTTTAAGTGTATAGTGAGGGCCACAGGCCTGTGCCACCTATAGAATATCTCAACATGAAGGGGTTTTGGAGCTACAGTCACCGAGGACGGCCGGAGCGAGCAAATTTCGACTTTCTCAGACACTTTTTGGCTGGAGGCCCCCATCGAGAAGCTAAGGGGCACCCATCCAAAACCTCTGTATTCTACTTTCTATTTCCATTCTTTTTCGACTGCCGGCCATATCCACTTCACCACTTCCAGCTCCTCCTTGTCCACTCTACCCATATACAAAAAAGAAATATATATGTCCAGCCCCTTTTCTTCGCAAGACCCAATGTGTCAAGAATTTAATGGAAAGAATACTCAAAAAAGAACGGTTCGGATCACTCCCGGATCCTTTGCCTCCCCTAAAGCCCTGTTCCGCCACACCAAGAAAGGACTTTAGCCCAAGAGGCATAAAAAAATCTCAGCCACGTCTGTCTCTCCCCGCCACACCGGGGAAATAAACAGACCTCATGACTGGGTTTAAAAAATTCGCGATCGCACCTCACGATCTTTTCTCTCTTTCTCTTTCCGTTTACTCTTCTTTCCACCGCCCCCTGCCCTACCCCCTCTCGGGGTAGGAATTCAAAAAGATTGCACTAAATTGCTTGTTAGCTGTCGTGCGCGGCAGGTTCATCTCTGCCAGTGCAGCAAGTCCACTATTGACGTATGTGCGGGCTGTTTTAGCAGCCTGCCACCTACCATAGACCAAAAGTCGGTCTAAACTTCCCCATTTTTGAAAGAAAAACGTGGCTCCCCCTCTGCGGAGGGAGTAAGGGCGAAAGCCCAACTCTTCAAAACCCAGAGCCATGACAGCCTCATTAAAGAGTTGACGCCACTTGGCGGGAGACGGGCAAAGCTGGCTACGAACCTCACATTGTTGGCTCCAAGCATGCAGCCACCGAAGGGGTTCCTCTACAGTCAAGGTGACACTTTCTGAGGCTCCTTGTCGTTTGCCAGCTTTGGTAAGGCCAAGGGAAAGAACAGCAGGTCCTTGTACGGCATGTATGCTAACGTCAGAAGAACAGAGACTGAGTATCTCTCCCGTGCGCAGGGTCCCGTAGAACCCCACGAGGAGGGACAAGCCAAATTTATACTGCTCTTTGAAGAAGGCATGTCCTACCATCATCTGAAGTGCCTCCTCCGGTAGTGGTGGCGCCCGATTCGGTATTTCGTTCATGCTCCAGGCCTTGAGGAGCCTCCAGGTGCCGCGAAGATGCCCTTTGACTTGCGGTTGAGCGTCTTGAAGTGCGGCAACGGTATCACTTGCTTGTGCACGTCCAAATCCTTCTGTCCATAGATGTTCTATGTACTGCTGAAGTAACAGGTCAAGGTCGGCGTGATTGTATGGCACTGCTCGGCCTTCATCTCGGAGGAATGCCCAAAAACCTTCTAGTGCTCTGTTGTATCGTTCCCTAGTGCGCGGTTGCACGGTGAGTGAATGCAAACTTCCCATTTCTGCTCTCTGCTTCTTACGCTCCTCCCGTGAGCCTCCTTCTAACATTGGCCGTTTTACTTTAGCCATTTCTTTCGAACAGGACGCCTGCTGGGGGCGTCCGCGGGGTTTTGTGCCGTGTGGACATATGCCCACAGGCCTTGCGTTCCGGAGGCTAGGAGAAGCGCGTTTATTCGGAGCAGAGTTCTTCGGAGCTTGCGGCTGCTGGATCTCCCCCGTGCCAAACAGTGGAGACACACAAGGGAATCTACGAGATGAAGCCATCGTTCTTGAAGCCAACCCTTCTTTGCGATGCGCCAGCGAAGCGTTGTTAGCGCAGCTCGTAGTTCAAGTACGTTGATGTGCTCTTTAGTGCCCCGCCATTGCCATCCGCAAATGGTCCTCCACTTCCATAATCCAGCAGGTAAACTGGCTCGAAGGCGATGATACCGGACAGGATCTTCACTTTGCGCCTGCAGGAGAACATCTTCTCCCTTCAGACTGGTCAGCCCTGCAATCTTCTGCACCAGTTGGGTGTCCAAAAACGAAGGTTCAGCTTTTCGCGGTGGTCGCATGAACGGTCGGAGGAGAAAACTCTGTAGGGTGCGTCCTCCGCCTGGGGCGCACTGTTCTACCACCTCCCGAAGGCTCAGACGCGGACCTACGCCTAGAACCAAGGAGAGCTGAGTCAACAACCATGCTACCACGAAGACGTTCCAGCTGTTTCCAACGAGGGTGAGCCGCTCATCTTGCCAAGCCTGTGTGTTCTGCTCTTGCTTCGGGTAGCATTGAACAGTGTAGCCGCGTGGGAAACCCATCAGAACTTCTCGCTCTTCACAATTCAACAAGCGGGTGTTGCCATGTTTGTCTTGCACTCGAAATTTATGAAGGTATTGGTATGGTGGGAAACGATGCAAGTCACTGCCCCAGTCCCTAAGCACCTCTTCTCCACATTGCTGAAGACCGGCAGGGCGTCTGCCAGGAGTTAGGCTTGGCCGTGAGGTAGTGAATGTTGGATAAGGTTCATTGGAAACTTTCTCCCAGCCATCTGACAGGAAACGAGTACAGTCATAGTCTACCTCAAGGGTCACGGTCTGCAAAGTGCTCCAAGACTCTCCTGTTGCCGAGGAGATGGTTACCCCTTCACCAGGCACCAACTCCCAAGACGGCCAGAATAGACGAGGTCGCCGAGCTCCACAAAGGTGTACAGGATCTATCAGGAAAGGTGTGGACCCCACGGACTCGCTCATGATCCTACGGTCACTTTCATCCATGGAGGCGACTGATTCCATCAGCCTGTGCACCTGTGCCCACTTAAAATGCTTCCTGAGGAGGGAGTGGACGAAGTCAACATACTGGTACAAGCAGCTTCGGTGGTCTCGCAGAGCCCCTCTGCGGTCTGCATTGAGCCCTGAAACGCCTTGACAAGGCGGCCCGGCCCCCAAGACCACCAGGGCCACTTGTGAAAACTGGCATGCCCAAGACTGTACCATGTCCTCATCCACCAGCTCAACGTCTTCAACGAATAATGTTTGCGGAAAATGGCTTTCGACCACTCGCCTTGCGGGCCCATGCTTTTCGACACTAATGTGGCCGATTACCGGCAATCCGATCACGTCCGCAGCTACCCGTAAGGCTCCCAACCCGTCGAACAACCCGATTGTGAGCACTTGAGGAAGGTCGCTGGGTTCAACCACGTCTCCACGCACTTCACAGTTGGCGGCCATGCATCCCAACGGGGTCAATCTGGACGAAGCGGTGATTCCTCCTCCTGTAGTTGATGCATCACTGGCTGTGACGGTAGGTGAGAACGGCAGCCGAAAGTCCATCCGAGCCAGCGGTACCAGGAGACAGAATCGCGCTATCTCCCGTCGGACCGGTTGAGGCAGGGGTCTAAAGTGGGGCCCTTGCCCGTCGAAACTTTGGATGAACTCCCAAATTGCATTGAGCGTGCCCAGCAGTGCCCGTCGAAACATGGCTATGTAGACCAACCCCCCTGCCACAATCTGCATTTGCTTCTGACTGCACCTGCCACTTTCCAAAAGTAGAAGACTAAGTTGCACGTAGCGCATGACTTTCTCGGGGCGCGGTCTTGCGGTCCCTTCTGTACCATCCACCAAGGCTCCCTGTACTTCAGCAGAGCTCTGTCGCTCCACCGCTTTCTTGGGGTGACGGGGTATGGCCATGTCTGTGTACATGCTTCGCAAACTATCCACTAAAGGAGCAGGGGTACCCTTAATTCTTTCTGCCAGATTGGAGTCCACTTTCTCGAGCTGGTCGAAGTTGTCCAAATAAATCCTATAAGAGGGGTTTGCACTAGTCAGCGGTCTATCTCTTCTCAGCTCCGCCTCCCAACCGTGCTGGAGGCCCTCCTTCCGAGCTTCTGCCAAAGCACTGCTGACCACTTGTCGGTGTATGTGCTGAGCTGCCACACTGCAAAACCCCGGTAGGACCAAAGAGGTAGAATCTTTCTCGGCCAAAAAGGGTTGCCATTCGGTACCCGAAACAAATCACCAGGAGGGTCTCAGTGGGCTGAAAAAGGAGCTCATGCTGGGCCCAGGTTGATACGTCGCCTTCAATCCCTTTACACAGCTTATTAAGAGGCACCAGATTCATGATCAGCCGGTGAACCTCTCGGCCCTGCGCCGTTTCCTCCTTCAAAACGCCAAACATCCCGTTTAAAAGCGGGCGGCCTTGCACATGATGGACCTGGCTCTCCGCAATGGCTCCACAAATACCTCGCTGCATCAAACCCTCACACATGCAATCCCACTCCTCGTCCGCTATCATCACCTTCGGGGCCTTTGTGAAAACCTGGGACTCTTCGGGGACCAAGTATTGAGTGAAGTTCCGAACATAGTGCAAACATCCTCCACTTACAACTTGCTCCAAGTCCACTGTGCCTACTTCTTCCGGCAACGCAGGTGCCACATGTGCCCACGAAGTCCTCTGGGCGGTTTTGACCTCGTCTCCCTTGTAGTCCACGCTTCTCACTCGAAGGAAGTCTTGCCACGACAGTTTCTCAAATTTTCCCGTCTTGCTCACGAACCTCTGGGCCTCTTCACTCAACTGAAAAAGAATACGTTCATGCAATGGTGAAACACGTTGGTTTAAGGGCGGACCACAATCATACACACTGTTGAGAGCCATCACCATGCCTCTCAAAACCTCTCTCACCTCGGTCTCCAACACGTCAAACGGGGGCCCAGCTAGGGAGCTGCCGCAGGGAAGTGAAAACACCTCCCCCTTGGTCAAGGTCTTGCGAAGAAAAGGTGACAGGTCCCTGGTCAAGTCCCCCACGACGTCGACGAAACGAAAACCGCCCGCTTCCTCCTTTGTTCGCTCTTCAAGCGGACTGGTTGTAGGTTTGCCTTCGGCGGCATCCTCATCCGGCACTGTACTGGCCAAAATGGCCACCGAGGAGTGGTTATAGGGTCTCCCACTCCCATCCGGCATCTGCAACTGTAGTAGGTCATCTGTCTGCACTCTTGAGGTCTGTTCTGCCCCATGCGAAGCCAGCCTTGCCATCTCCTCGAGCTCTGCCTCAACCTCAGCCTCTGTCATGTATGGGGGAGGAGAATCAACTTCTCCTTCTCCCGTTCCCCCTTGTGTTTGTCCTTGCCTCCTCCTTTGTCCTTCTTGGTCTTCCCTTTTGCCTCCTCTTGTTTGCTCTTTGAACTGCCCTTGTCGCTCTTCCCCCATGTTCTTTGCGTGGCCTGTCGATTCTTCAACTCCTCTCGCAGCTCTTTGTTGGCCGTCTTGCTCTCCTCGACGCCTGCAAGTTGTACTCCCTCCTGGGGTGCCAACTCCAACTTCTGTGACGCTGCCCATGACTGACCTCCTCCCAAGCTCTCGACCGACTTCAACCGCTGAAGGAGTATGTCTACCCCCAGCGCCACCTGTCCACTCAAAATGGCGTCCGTGGCTGCACATAGATTCAAGCTCTCTCTGCACAGCGGCGGGGACAACCTCTGCGACAAAACTTGCTTGTGATACTGGAGGGCTATGCACGGTACCGGACCATCTTGAATCTCGATCGGCAAGCCTTGGTGCGTGAGCAGGGACCGGGACATGCTCGCTATGGTGTGAGCCGAAAGGGCGCCAGGCCCCTTCATTGCAGCCTTCCTGATCTTGTGCGTCTCCTCGAACAGGTGGGCCTCGTCTCCACTGCTGGAACTCCCCTCCGTGCTGGTGCACGAGGAGTCCCCGCTGTCTTCCTTCGAGCGATGCTTCATGGCTCTTCGTGCACGCTTCATCACCTTCTTGCGGTTCTTGAGCTTGGAGTCGAGTCCTGTAAACTCGAAGACCTTTACCAAATCCTTCTTTCCCTGCACCTTGAATGCCTTGCCCTTCTTCTTTTTCTTTTTCTTTTTTCCTTTTTTCTTTTTCTTTGATGAACTCGTGCTCGAACTGCTCAACTCTTCGGGGGCGGCTCCTCCTCCGGCTGCAGGCTCTCGACCTCCGCCTACTCTTTCCCTCGTGCTTCTCTGTCTCTCCTGCTGGACTCTTCCGCCATCCTTCTGAGCGTCTCGCTCTCTGCCGCCTCCTTCAAGTTCTCGCCCCATGCGGGTGGGGCCACCTCCAACTTCCTCAACTTCTTCAAGTGTATGTAGTCGTCGGCCACCGGGCTGTTCGTGCAAAGCGATGTGCATAGATGGGCCCGAAGACATCTGTCCTCCTGCCCTGATAGCCACTTGAGGAGGCCCTCGTCGGGCGTCCCCCCCAGCTTGCAGTTTCAGCTCCAACTGGCCTCCCACCAAGGAGACTCCAATGACTTCACCTGCAACCTCCACTGGCCTGTCCCAATAAGTGGCCTCCGCAAAGATCTTGGTGCCAGGTGTCAGCTCTCCCACTGTCACCCGATGCCCCTCCACCAGTCCTCCTCTTGAGAAGTCGGGCTCCTCAGGAGGTTCCGCTGCGGCTGGCCGTACTCGAACACGACGATCTCCACGAACTCTCACGTCTGCGGCTGGTCTTCTCTTGGGTGCCATTCACCTACCCCAGGTGCTCCTTTCGGTGGGCGAGGAAGGCCTTGAAACTCCTCTGTGTCTCCACCTTCTTCACCCCTTTGTTCTTCCAATCTGAGCCCCCGTAATAACCTCGTCCTCGACCGTAGTTTTGCCCTGACCAAGAACCTCCACCTCCTCGCCCGGACGGTGGGGGATGAGACGGTGACCTCGGCCTCAACCTGGCAGGTGGGTCGTTGGCGGGACGCTGTGAGGGTTTTGGCTCACGCCTTGATGCTGATGAAGCTCCTCCCGGATTTCTGTGATGAACCTCTCTCTCAACTCCCTCTCTGCTAGGGCTTCGGCGTCTCCTCCTTCTCGATCGGCTCCTGGTCCTCCGCCTTCTCTTTTGGTTTTTCTCTGAGTGAGGAGTGGTCTCTTCTTCCTTCTCCCTTTCACTCTTCTTAGGCTCGCCTGTTGGTCTTCTCCCTGACTTCTTCTCCTCGTGAGGAGTGAGCTCTGCCTCAAACTCCCGTTCACTCTCTTCCAGCTCCTCCTCTGATTCCTTCTTGGCTTCTCGGCGGGGCAATGGCGATCTCTCTGACTTTCTTGGACTGGGCAAACTCTTTGGTGCTGTACTGGGATGGCTGTCCTTTTCTGACTGGTCTAAGCTCTCCTCTCTCTTGTCAGGCAGATCTCCTTCCTCTCTTTCTTTCTTGACCTCTGCAGTGCTTCTTCTCGATGACCTCTCTCTTTCGGGCTCTCGGCCGGGCTCCTCCTTGGCTTGTCCAGCTCCTAGTCCACCGTCTCCTTGAACCCCCGGGGACTCCCGTGCACCAGTCCCTGGGAGGAGTCCGGTCGCCGGTGATGCCGCACCAGCTCCCTGATCTCGCCGCCGAGAGTCGATGAAGTCGCACAATTCCCCCGCCGCCACTCTCAAGCGGTCGGAGGCAAAAGCGATGTACCCTGGCTCACGGGTGAAGTCCGCAATGTGGGCACACAACCGATGTAGCGTCAAGCAAACGCCACACCGGCACGCGGGTGAGTGCCCCCACATCAACCAACACCCTTTGAGCCGGAGCTAACGGGGGGTGGACATGTTCATGGACTTCTCCTTTATTTCCGGGGGCGTAAACCCATATATACCTGTGCCCGTGCGAAAGACTACCGATAGCCTCGCCCACGACCGTCTCTGGTCACTCATTACCAACACGCAGCTGACGAACTCACATGAAATCTTTGAGGGTGCCCTTTTTCACCTCCAAAACATTCCTGAACCAGGACGAAAAAGGGCGCCCCCTTTTTACTTCTACCTTTCTTTTCTAGCTCCTATCACGCACCTGCGATGCCAACTTCACCCCATACACGTACTCTTTACATAATGTTAGCCTATCACTTCATCTTACTCCAATATCAACCTCAGCACTTCCGGCTGCTCTTTTTCCACTCTACCTTGCAAACTTATGTCTATACACTGGCCAGAAGAAAGTTGCGCTTCTTGATGTTGAAACTCATGACAACCCTCCCCCTAGAATCCTACACCGTGAGACAAGGGAAGGTGTGGGCGGTCATTTGTCACCCCGGAAAGCCTTTTATTATTATAATGTTAAAAGGGTGTGATAATTGACCGTCCCACACCTGCCACGAAAATTTCACTTGTTAATTCGATCCGCCGCTGACCTCAGAGTGTTTTGTAAGAAGGCTAACAAGCGTAAACTTTTGTCTGCCTGAAGTATAGGGGGACCTCCTCACCTACCCTACCCTTTGCTTCGCACATGCACCTCCGCTGCCGTCTCTGCTCCCTGGTTCGCAACACGCCGCCAGCAAGGGTGCCTCACTTCCTGAGGGGTGCCCTTTTCATTTCGATATTCCTAGACCTATATCTTCCACTGTCCATTTCTACCTCCTCTCTGTGGCTGCGATGTCAACTTCGCCCCACGAACTTCCTCTTTGCCCGATGTAACCCATCACTTCCTCTTGCACGCCAAGTCTTTGCCCGAGCCTACCCTGAGAGCACCCCTAAGCCAGAGGCTGGCTTTCGTCCCCTCCCTTCTCAGGTTTAGATTAGTTTTAATTCCAATTCTGCTAGTAGCTTCTTGTTTATAGTAGCTTCTTGTTCCTAGTAGTAAGGCCAGGAGCCCCTAGTAGCGTCCTTGCTCCTAGTAGCGATGCCCCTTGTTCCTAGTAGCGTTCTTGCTCGTAGTCTTCTTCCTTGTCCAAATCTTTTGGTGGAACTTGGTGAGGTAAATCTTATTGCGGTGGATCCAGATGGAGAGCATTGGCGGATCACTGGAGAGACTGAGGACGTCAGTTTTCTATAATCGAACCAAATGAAGCGTCGCAGCGTCACCTATCCTGCGTCCAGTAGGTAGGAACTTCCTATTGCAAGTGGCGATCTAGTTTGTCCCTTACTAAGTAGATAGTCTCTCCTAGTAGTAAGCCCAGGAGCCCCTAGTAGCGTCCTCTTGCTCCTTGTAGCGATGCTCTTTGCTCCGTTCGTAGCGTCCTTGCTCGGCAGAGCGGCAAAAAAACGGTCGTAGGTGATGAGGAGATGGGGCGTGCGACCAGATCAAATGGGGTACCTGCTTGCATTGAGTGCAGACCCAAGAGACGGAGAGGTTGGACTCGCTTTCTCGTGCAACGAGTTGACGGAAACCCGGAAACACAATTTCGCATAAGCCACTTGTACTAAATCTAGTAGTAACAAGTGCCTTACTAGTAGTAACAAGAAGCTATTAGAAACAAGTTTAATTAGAATTAATTAAAATAGAAACCATTATGTTTCCGCCTCTCACTTAGCGAGAGCCGAAGGGAACCGAAGGGAACGCAGTGAAGACCGAACTGAACACGAAGCGACTGTCACCTTTCCCCCCCAAACAGAGACGGCAGTGTTCCGCCGCTTTCCTACGTGGCCAGTAGCGAACTGTCACCTTCCTACATGCTGAAAAGAACTAGTAGCTTCCTAGTCTTTCCTACTGGTTTGTGTGGCTTTCTCGCTTTGGCGTTCTCAGTGGGCGACGCTGTGGATGTCATCCCTGGCGTGGGCGCCCCAGTGGGCGACCTATTAGGAGCAAGGACGCTACGAACGGGGCTCCTGGCCTTACTAGGAACAAGGAAGCTACTAGGAACAAGTGCATCGCTTCTAGTAACAAGTGCCTTACTAGTAGTAACAAGAAGCTACTAGGGGCTCCTGGCCTTACTAGGAGCAAGGACAATACGAACGGAACAAAGGGCATCGCTGTACTGGGAGTCAAGGATGCTCCTGTTTTCTTTCGACCAAGGTTCCGGGCATCGGTCAAATGAAAGGGGCAGCTCTACTTCAGTGTGGAGCTTGAAAAAATCCGCTCTTTGGTTCCGTTTTTTTCGCTTCGACACTTCTTCAGGCGTTTTGAGAACTTGGAAGGCATCCTTAGGGCTGCACAGGCACACCGTCGGGATGCCTTGTTTTTTTCCGGATTCCACTGCCGTGTCAGGATTGTACCATCTTGGGAGTGGCTGGTATCAGCGAGAAGCTGCGGCTAAACATACTCAAGTGCCAACAAATTGACAAGACAGACAAGCAGGACAACTAATGAGACCAAGAAACATTGCCATGGCTTCGCTCTCTTTTTGCATATTCAGACATTCAGAAAGATAGTGGCTATCGGCCGCCACGCGACGCCAAATTTCGTTTGCGCCTGACGAGAGCCCATTGAGCTTCTAGTAGCTAGTAGAAACAAGTGCCACGCTACTAGGAACAGGTGCCTTACTACTAGTAACAATGTTTGCTATTTGAAACAACAAGCTACTACGCTACTAGTAACAAGTAGTAACAAGAAGCTAGTAGTAACAAGAGCTTCTTCAGTAAAGGTGTGACGTTTCGGAAATCGGAACGACAGTGTGCACCGTGCGCACTTTGCGCATTGTGAGGTGTGGTTGACCAGTGTCTTGATATGTGTAAATATTTGCCACCCGTTGTGTTATTTCTTTCCACAATTTCCAATTCCACCATTTGTAGCGGGGCAACGCTGAAAATCTCTCAGATGGAGATGCATCGTCCCGACGCGTAGCTAAGAATGGTCCCGACGTGGCGAACTTCACCAGACCTTTGTAGCTTCTTGTTACTACTAACAAGTGCCACGCTAGTAGTAACAAGTGCCTTACTAGTAGCAACAAAAAGCTATTAATTTAAAGTTAAATTTAATTCTAATAGCTTCTTGTTACTACTAGTAAGGCACTTGTTACTAGAAGCGATGCACTTGTTCCTAGTAGCTTCCTTGTTCCTAGTAAGGCCAGGAGCCCCGTTCGTAGCGTCCTTGCTCCTAATAGCGCTGAATGCTGCACGCTGTTTGTCCATGCTGCTTGTGCATGCTCTCAGGGATCCTGTTGTGCTTCGACACCTTTTCTGTTTGCGCACATCGCAACATGCTTTTCACGCGGCTGATAAATCTTTTCACGTAATCGCATTGTTGTCCCCTCTTGACCCCAGAAACATCAAAGAGGTTGTGGTGTTGTGCGTGCGATGTGCAACATGACGATGTGATGTGTATTTGTTGCATGCAACAAATGAATTTGTGTAGTGGTGATATGACGTTTGGTTATTTTTTGATGTGAAGAACAATGTGGTCATATCATGCATGGTGTTTTGTGATGTGGCGACGTGCAATGTTGTAAGTGCAATGGGGTAGTCCTAAAGTCCATCCTTTTTTCTATCCTCTTTTCGATAAGTCACCAGTCTTGCAGGCTTTTCTGTGGAAATTCTGAGGTGGCTATCTGTTGAGTCAGGTGAGTGATGAGAAGCTATTTGACAAACTAGCTGAGTGATGATGATATTGTCTTGAGTCTATAGACTGCTAGCTTGGTGCGTAGACGGTTTCAATTTTCTGTAGCTTGGACTTAAACGTCCTTTGAACAGCTCGCAGTTTGATAATTGTTCTTATTGTTTGACATTGAGTGTCGGACATATCGATCTTCCGGGAAGCATCCCCGGCTGTCCTTGACTCAACAACCACACAGATTGTTGACCATGGGCTTCAGTTTCAAGGCTTTTGAAGAGTCAAACGATCACGACCTCCTCCTACAACAGGTACATGTGGTTGCTGAACCTGTGGGGTGCAAGTCAACCTGGTGGGTTCTGCGTCAGGTCCCAACAGAAAGAGGTCCAGAGTCGGTTGTCGGCGTCGCAACCAGATGCGCTCAAGATGGAGATATTGGTTGTTTGAGAAGGAAGAATGTTCGCTACTAGGGCTAGGGGCTCCTGGCATCGCTACTAGGAGCAAGTAGCTACTAGTAACAAAAAGCTACTAGGAGTTGGGACTCCAGGGGGAGGAAGACGGTTTTGCACAAGAAGCTACTATATAGACCTTTTGAGAAGTTAAGTGTCCCTAAAGATCTAGGAACCAAGTCATTTGTGCAACCGCTTCAAGGACGCCCCTCAGGCAGGAGCTCCCTTGAAGCGTGAGCTATCCACCCGGAGCGAATTGACTAAGTAGGCGCAGGGCACGGGCACGAAAACGACCAAGGTCGAGCCCAAAAAGTCAACCCGACCTGTAAACCGAAGCCGGAATCTTCGTCCAGGTATGGCGATCGAGTCCTCGAGCTTTATGAGAAGGTGAGGGACTCGATCACGGACACCCACTCGATCACTGTGTTTCGCATTGCTCACGCTGTTCTTCCAGGTTGTCCAGCTGCAAGATGTTCCATTGGAGGCATCCGACGTGTGAGCGCTCTTCCAAGATCTAGCATCAGCTTCTCAAATCTGTGAGGAAGATTTGTTGAACTTGAAAGTGCCACAGCGGGTTTGAAGCCTAACCGCCTAGCCCAGCACAGGCTGAACAATTCATCGTTTATTCCCGCACAGTTCTTGCGCCAAAGGATGAAGCCTGGAAGAGCCTGCAACTCGAGCAGCCAAACCACAACTCCAGCAGCCTCTTCTTGTCAAGCTGAGGAAGAGTTGAGGCCTATTGCGAGAAAGAGGCCAAGAAACTGGAACTTAATCAGAAAGATACTTCCGAAGAAAGAATATTTTCTCTTACCGGGTCTCACAACATGTTCAAGAGATCAGGGATCGAATGGAATCGAATTAAGTCCATTTCGTGTGGCGAGTGGAACGGTCTCTCCTACGTTTTGCACCGATGAGGTTTGGAGAGATTCGACCGTGTGAGGTGAAATGTCTCGGGTTCTATTGGGAAGCT